TTCATAATATTTCAGGGACTATTATATTTATATTTTTAAGCATTTAACTACTAGATGTTTAAATCCTGTCTGAAACCTGGACTGAGCGGATTATTTTCAAGTAAATTTTCTTCACATTTCGGAGACTCCTTTTTGCTAAGTTTTGCTGTCCGTTGATATTGTATTAAAGTGAGAGTTAAATAAAAGCACCGCCATTTTTAAAAATAACCTTTGTTTTTTTTTAATTTCGAATACGCATAAACCAGTGCGATTTTTATATACAGCTTTAGAAAGACGAAGTATGTGTTTAAACTTAATATTTAAAAATACATGAGAAATTTTAAGATGACCTCTTCTTCAGAAAAATAAATTGATCATATTTTAAACAGTGATACTTGCAGATTATTTTTGCATAAACGTTGCTCTTGAACTTTAAGATTGAAAAATTATTACTTACTTCACATTTATGAAGGAACTTTTGCTGTGATAATTATAAAATGAGGTTTACCAGTTATTTAATAAAGCATCAGATATCAGCCATTATGCCATTTAACATCAAGTAACAGATAAAAAAAGAATTAAGTATATTCAAGTATCCTGTCTCCTAGCCAAAACATAAGCATAGTTAATGTATAATTCTACAAACGCAGCAAACCGGAGGCAAAAGATCGACTTGCAATACTACTTTTGCTATGAGGCTGTATGGGCACACGTTTATCTGAATTGTACAATAATTTAAATGAAAATCTTAAAATATACGAGTACAATAAGAATTAATATACTTGTAAGTTTTTACTAACAGAGCGGCTCCAAGCAAAAACCTATCTAGAAATCGAATTGTTACTTGAGAAGGTTAAATAACTTGAGTGAAAAAGAGTTAAAATGAGGCTTACATCATAACACACATACAGGCTCTCACACACACATACGCATGCACGCCCACACATATACACATGCACGCCCACACACATACACACGCACGCACACATACAAACAGGCTCGCGCACAAACAAACACACGCACTCGAACACAAACTCACACACACACACGCACGTACATGCACACGCACGCACGCACATACACCGGTTACATGAACAATCGTAAATATTGTCTACTTAGAAAATAAAAATAAACTGCTTATGGAAGAGCGGTGTTCCCTAACACAGGCCTTTTAGCTTAAAAGGGGACCTCGATCACTGAAAAATGTTAAGAAGAAATAAATATTTATTATTAATGGACTGGAAACTAGTTGGAAGTAGGGTTGCAACTATATATCGGAATATCGATAATATCGAGACCAAAATATGGATGTTTATATCGATATTTAAAATTCACTGATATCGATAATATCGATATCGGAAAATCCAAAATATCGCTATTTCGTAGACTAAATTTGAACATAATAATATCAATTAATTTACCTGCTATGACTATCTAAATTGAATAATATCGAAATAACTATTGCTTTGAAATCGCAAGAGCTTATAGATGCATTAAAAAAATCTTGAACCCCAAGAAATATACTAAACTGGTGTGGATTCTGGCATGATTCTCTAAACCTAAATTAAATTTGACAATAGTGTATCCTTGTCTTTCTTTAAACAGAATGAAAAGGAGAGACTGATGTTAAATTTAGTTTTAAGTTTAGATAATCACGCCAGAATCGACACCAACGTATATAGGTATATCAATCGTATACCTAATGGTAACTCATGCACTTAAATAAAATCCTTGCCTCTCTTTCTAGATAATTGTCAATTACTGATTAATTGAAATTTAATATCATTGTAATATAACACAAAATAAAATTAAGAATCTTATACAAACCGTAAATTTTTTAAGCTCGCCAAGTCAAGAAAGTAAGATAGGTATAGTACTTTGGAAGCTTTGGGCTGACCCTATTCTGAAGCCGTGGGCATGCCCCTGATGTGTGGGAGACTAAGCAATTTGCGTATTTGATGTGCGCTAAAAAACCGACATAGCTTGGAAAAGCACGAATGTAGTAAAAACTTAGCGAAGGCATTCGCAAATGTCGTCCCACATATGCGGGATGGCGCATTCGTGCTAACGAATGTGAGTGATCAGATCAGGATAATAATTTTATTTTTTTGGTTTCCTGTCGTGGCTGAAACACAAACCGTGCGAGCCAATAAAAAAAACCCTGTTTGGCGCGATTTCATCAAGCGTGTTTGACGAAAAAGCTGGCTCAATGCATTTTGCGAGAATCTCGCCAACAAACATATGAATGTGTCACACTCACCCCGTATTCTAATGTCAAAAAAAAAAAAGGAAAAAATATCGATATATCGATAATATCGAGTTAAAATGGTCGATATGTCGGATATCGATATTTTCCTGACTTCGATATAAATATCGATATTACAAAAGACTTTGCATCCCTAGTTGGAAGTCTATTAAAAATTTCGATCGCCTGGTACCTATAGCTATGTTTTACAACATTAAGTTTAGGTTCGATCAGATGTGGTAGATCCAAGTCGATACCATCCACGCATTGCTGCTGTGCGTCTGTCCGTCTGTCCGTTCCTTTTGAGGTACGGAACCCTACGTCATCAATACTACACCGTTTCATAGAACGAGCCGGTCGGCGTTGCTTTACGAAGAGCGGTTGCACAACCCACTAATAGAATTTACTCTGCTGAATAGTTCAATGTGTGATTGTCACAGATCATAGATCTCTGTTTGGTGATTGTAGTCCGCTATACACTGTTATTTGTTAACCAAGCGTGTTAACGGCTATTGTTGAAGTGTTTGTCAGTCTGAGCCTATCCCTTTACTATACTGATGATACTTAATTGAATACATAATTGTATATGTATATAGATTTGATGTATGCCAATTGTTTTCTTTTTATAAAAATACCTAAATATATATTTAAAAAAAAAACGACGGGTTGCACTCTGGGAGTGCCGGTAGAAGCGAAAACTTGAATATTAACGTTGTGCATTTTTGATATTTTGGAATGATTAGGGAATAATTTTGCATGAATTGCTTTAATTATCAGTATAAAAGTACTATCAAGTATGTGGTACAATACAATATTTATTTATTACGCTATCGTATACAAACATGACAATTTATATTACATTAAAAAAAGTTTATCTCTCAGAAAAATCAACTTACATGAATCACGTTTAAGCGCACCTAGCGACATCTATTGTAAAAAAATGCATTTTGTTCGCAATAAAGCTGCCACGTGGACGTCCTAGATAGAGACTTATTATTATAATACGATAAAATAAAATATTAGCATGTTTCGTCCAATATATTGAAAGACAACAACCTATCCAATTTTATTGTGTGTCATAATGCGATCAGCCCACGTGTTTAACCTGACGCGAGTTTAACATTTTTTATCCATACAAAAAAAAGTGTACAACGCCGCTAAAGAAGTTTTCACTTCAAAAATTATACACGACTTCTTAATAATAAAACACTTTTTTTGCATTCGTGATTGTTTTTCGTTTGTTTTATTTTCTAGTTGTTCTCTTATACACACCAGGCGATTTAAATTGACCAACTTTTGATCGTTCGAGAAAAATTAGAAACAAATTTGTATAAACATGTTCTGACGCTTCAATTAAAATTGTTTCAACTTTTGGTAACCAAGATGTCGGAAAGCCAATAATATTATGTATTAAGCCGTGGTATTAAGCTATTGATTTCATTGCCGACAAAAATAGCAATACTGTCGTCAGCAAATAGTATTAGCTTCTCATTTACTAAATCATAATTTCAATTTAGATTAATATAAGTATTTAATTGACATTGTTGGAATTTTGTAATTTATACTCAACTAAATGAAATGACACTGCATGTCAACAATACAGAATATGACTGAACTAAATATAATTTGTATATTTGTACACAACAATAACCTGTATACGCAACAAAAAACCTGCCAAGTGCGAGTCGGACTCGCGTACCGAGGGTTCCGTACAAAAATATTCAAATTTTTTTTTATGATGTTACTAAAAATTTACGGTTTTCGCAATTTTACTTTTATCTCAAAATTCAAAAATTCAATTCAAAATTCAATATCGTTTATTCAGTCTAGGCTGTTACAAGCACTTGTGAATGTCGAAAAGCTACGCCATCGATTCGCAAATCTACGGCGGGAGACCTTGTACTGAGAAGAAGTCTCTGTCTCTGTATCTGTACTATAAGACGTTACTTCGTACCAAATTTCAGGATTCTAAGTTCACGGGAAGTACCCTGTAGGTTTTGATTCCCGTGCGAGTTTCGAAAATTTGCAGAATAAATGGCTGCATCTTTTGATTGCTTTGGCTTAGAAGTTTGATTTTTTCATAGCTCCAAGGGACAGTAGACCTGAGTATTATAAATGAATTCCAATTTGATACCTCCACGCGTTCCTGAGAAAAACGGTCTTGACAGACGGACGGACGGACAACAAAGTGATCCTATAAGGGTTCCGTTTTTTCCTTTTGAGGTACGGAACCCTATTACTGATTTGAATTTAGAATTTTGAAAAAAATTAATTTGACAATTGTCAGTGTCAGTGACATATGTCGACTTGGGGTGTATTCCGAAATCTACATCAGTATACTGGCCAGTGGTAATGACGTCACGAATCCAACGCCATATTGTACTGGTATGGTACCATATTTTTACCGGGAAAACGAATATGACGTATGACCGAGCGTGCGTGAGATTCATTCGAATCATATTTCTTTTTTATTTAAGGAACTATAATGGCGTCCGAACAAAAACAATTCCTTTTAATTGATGACGTAAATAAAAAAATCTTCTTTATTCGCACTATTTTTAATATTTCGTCGATTTATGATGTCACTGCACTGGCCAGTATATTTCGGAACAATTCACCAGTGAAGCGTCGATTCATGACGTCATCGTCATTAGCACTGGCCAGTATACTGGTATTACGAAATACACCCTGGTGTAATGGGCAATGGGCCCTGGGAAATACAGAGCTTGGACCTCTCATGTCCACTTATATCCTATTATACTATTGTAAGACTTACCTAATGCTAATAGTGAATTGCGATGAGTCTTCTCCGGATTTTTTCAGGATGTAAGGAACTGCAGGTATGAGCTCGTCCAGCACTGGACTCGCGTTGGGTGGGCCCACCTGGTCAAAATATAATAAAATGTTATTCCTTATGTCTTCATAATTGCCTACATAAATACTTTTATCGTGTAGGTAAATTACTGCGACTCAATATATGTATATTTTTTAAATATAATTTTATTTAATCTTTATTAACTTACAGTCGGACAAATTTACAGTCTAACAGTAAAAAACAAACATTCACACTACACTCAAAATGCCAATAAGCTGACCAGTATCATAACTATCAGAATATCAACATATATAATAAAACCGATTATCACTGTCATTGCGCCACAACTGGCCATTATATTTAACAAATGTATTGATGAGGGAGTGTTTCCAGATCTAATGAAATGTGCTAAAGTTATCCCTCTTTTTAAGGCTGGTGATAAATCAGATCCCAGCAATTTTAGGCCTATATCTGTATTACCAGCGCTAAGTAAAGTATTTGAGAAAATAATTTATAACCAATTACTAGCACACTTTTCTATAAATAAGCTACTTCATTTAAAACAGTTTGGTTTCACTAGAGGCAAAAGTACTACTGATGCTGGAACTGCACTTCTCAAACACATTTTTGATATATGGGAGAGTAAGCACGATGCTATTGGCATTTTTTGCGATTTATCTAAGGCGTTTGACTGCGTTAGCCATGAAACATTGTTAAATAAAATGAAGCATTATGGTGTATCAAATATTTCACTAAGTCTGATACAGTCTTATCTTTCTGCTAGGATTCAGAAAGTAGTTATAAATGAAGCTGAGTCTACAGGAGCACCCATTTCTATGGGCGTGCCCCAGGGTTCAATATTGGGCCCATTGCTTTTCCTTATTTATATTAATGACCTTCCTCACTTTACAAGAGATTTGTGTGAGACAGTACTATTTGCTGATGACACCTCTTTAGTGTTTAAAGCTAGGAGAGGAAATGATTGTTATGACGAAGTAAATTGTGCTCTCTCTGAAGTCCTTCGCTGGTTTACGGTAAATAATTTAAAACTAAACTCTAGCAAAACAAAATGTGTTAAGTTTACTTTACCTAATGTGAGGCAGGTTAATACTAGTTTAAAAATAAATGAGCAGCCTGTAGAGTTAGTGGATTCTACAAAGTTTCTGGGTATTACTTTAGACTCGCATCTGCAATGGGTACCTCATATTGATGCCTTATCAAGTAGACTGAGCTCTGCGGCCTTCGCTGTTAAAAAAATAAGACTCCTAACTGATGTGGAAACGGCAAGAATGGTTTACTTTGGTTACTTTCATAGCGTTATGTCATATGGCCTTTTGTTGTGGGGCTCAGCTGCTAATATAGAAAGTATTTTCGTACTGCAAAAGAGAGCTGTTCGCGCCATATATAATTTAAAGGCAAGAGAATCTCTTAGAGAAAAATTTAAAGAAATTAATATTTTAACACTGGCATCGCAATACATTTATGAAAATATAATATATGTAAGAAGAAACTATGACGCATTTGCAAAAAAAAGTCAAACCCATAACTTAAACACGAGATTTAAGAACAAGCTTGCCGTTCCATGTTTCAGACTCCAAAAATCTAGAGGTTCATTTCTGGGATGTAGTATTGCATTGTTTAACAAAGTTCCCCAAGATCTGATTGAGCTTCCACTAACCAAATTTAAATCTCAGATTAAGAATACTCTTATGAATAAGGGCTATTATAAAGTTAATGATTATCTAAATGATCGTAATGCATGGACATAGTGTTTCTTGTAATTTCTTATTTGATGGGTATGAGTCAGTTTTGTAACAGTAGTATGGTACCTATCTAATGCCGCTTCCTATATATACTAAATATAAAATTTGTTGTAACTATATATCTATACCCTAAATAATGTAATGGAAGGTGACTTCAGAAGTATGTCTGAAGTCATTTTTCAACTTGACGACTCTGTATATATCAATACAGGGAGAAAAAAGCAGCCCTTGCTGAGTTTCTTGCCGGTTCTTCTCAGTACAAGGTCTCCCGCCGTAGTTTTGCGAACCGATGGCGTAGCTTCTTGACTTTCACAAGTGCTTGTAACAGCCTAGACTGAATAAATGACTTTTCATTTCATTTCATTTCATTTCATTTCATTTCATTTCATTTCATTTCATTTCATTTCAGTAAGCAGAGAACTTGGGTCAAATCGAGCAGGCTAAAGCCAGAAACATATTAACGTGTCGTGGCGTGACGTGGCGCATCGGTTTCATACATTTATTATGGGTTAGAGAGAGATAGAGAGGTTAAAGCGTCGACACGACACGATACGTCAATATGTCTCGCTCCATAGTAAATGCATGAAACCGATGTGCTTCTGGCGCGCCACGACACGACACGACACGTTAATATGTTTTTGGCTTAACTCATGTCATGGGTTCGACGGTATATATAACTTGTTACCAAAGTTGGTCACTAACGCAAAGTCTCTTAATATTTTTAAACATAAATTAAAGTTATGGCTCATTGAATTTTTGAATGATAAATCCTTGCATTAATTAGACTGATTAATATATTTTTCTATAATATTTCATAACTATTTTTTTATTCATTATTTTTTTTATTAATTTGTATGTGACATTTAACTTTATTGAGTATAAATATAGTATTTTAATATAATTTGAAATTGACATAGGAATTGAATGTTGACATTTTTGAATTCATTGAAAGCATAGTTAATACTCTATTATAAAAATGATTGACGTGTAATTTATTACGAAATAAATGATTATGATTATGATAAAATTTAAAAATTACATAAAAATTAGGTACTAGGAGACCAGTACCGACCAACAGCCTGGCTGACAAACAGATCGACGGATAGACAAAGTCACTTTTGGCATTATTATATTAGTATTTGATACTCATAGTTTAGGATTAGAAGAATTAACCTCAGCCAAGACTCCGATGACTGCGACCCCATCAGGTCTTTCGAGAGCCTGCGCGAGGGTTAGTCCAGACTTTACGTGGACTAAGTGTATCTCCAAAGGGTACCTTGGAAAACAAACAAAGAAAATATTAATATTTTTTGTGTACTTTATAATTTACTTATAAATGTGCTTCATATATTTGGTATTGAAGCAAGGTATGTAAAATCGTTTAATATAATAGGACATTTGACAAGTTTTAGAAAACGATCTCACGTTATTGACTAATGTTTATGGAGTCCGTAAAAAGTGGATATTCATCATTCTGTTGTGTATTTCAGTAAAAATAACCAAATCAAAAACTGCATTTTAAAGTTGCCGCGACAACGTTTTTCTGGACAATATGGCGTCTTACTAGTGAGTGACGTCACACGACTGTTATTAAAACGTCAAACGATACAATGTAATGTCACTTTAAGCGGAAGTTTACTTGCGTGTGACGTCATTTTCGGCTCCGCCAATCCCAAGCGTTTTGGGTCACGTGACAATAGATAAGAAAACTATTATCTTTTTCGTGGGTTATTAGTAAATTTTTTTTGTAAAAATAGTAAAATACCCTGCCAATATTCATTCTAAACACAGATGCTAACAATTGGCACTTTATTTTTAATACTGTCAAACACCCTATTATAACAAGAGGTAGAATAGCGGTATTCGTCCGTCTGAATGAAGTAACCTTGACTTCGTGTCTCTCGGTGAATATGGTTCCAAGAAACCAGTTCCAGGGTTCCACGGAATTGGGTTCATACCAGAAATGTGACGATGACCGCTCGAGCAGTACTATTTTTTTAAATGGCACGACACGATTTGTGCATTGCCACAGTACTATTTTCTGTGGCATCAGCAGTCTTGATGACTGGCCCGTTTTGAACTTAACGTCATCTGTCATCTTATTATTATAAGAATTTGCTAATCTGTAGTCGAATAAATAAGTTGCTGGTAAGAAGGCGTTTTCTTACACGATGAGGGTGGAACGTGCATTCGTGGTGCTCATAAAATGAAAATTCTTCAATGTTAAAAGATCAACTACCAAAGTTGATTAGGAAATTGAAGAGCTGCTTGTGCTAGATAAGTAAACGAAAGAGCTCTGAGCTCTCTGTACCCTTAGTACAAGTTTGTGCTCACGAAAACTATCATAGTTTTCGTAATTGTATATTATGCTTCTATATCCATTTTGGTAAAAAGTGACCAAATATACTTAAAATTTTATGATAGAATTTAAACACTGTTTATTTGTATTGAAACGAAAACAATAACATCAACGAGTGCGAGCTCACGAAAACTATCATAGTTTTCGTAATTGTAAAACTCGTACTAAGGGTACTGGTTTTTTATTTATTTATACTTTTAAAATTAATTAAACTGTTAAAGACCTGATGTGGATTATGACTCTTTGCAAATAAATAAAAATAGAAAATGTAAAGGGAGGACAAAACTTGCTGAGTTTCTTGCCGGTTCTTCTCAGACAAGGCCTTCTGGTAGACTCTTGAACCGATGGCATCAAATTTGACTGTCATAAGTGTGCAAATTGTACCTAAATGAATAAAGAAATTTTGACTTTGACTCTTTAATAAGTTCGTTGTGGGTGAGTACTAACTTGGTGCCGTCGATGGCGTGTTCTGAGAGCCAGTGGAAATGCACTTCAGCGAAGGAGTACTCCCCTCTGAGTGGTCCTCCAGACAGCACCGGGGGCGGCGTGCCTGGGACCACCGCCCAACGAACTGTAAGAAGAACTGCTTATACCAACTGCCGTGGAATGAAAATTAAATGAAATTATTTAAATAAAACTAGTTTTTCACGGGTTAATGCACAAAACTTTATTTATTTATTTATGATTTTTTTTTTGACGTGATGATGACATGATTAATGACAAAAAAAACATTCCGACGAAGCAGCCTGTAAAGGCTGCGAAACGTCAATAAATAAATAAAGTTTCGTGCATTAACCCGTGAAAAACTAGCTTTATTTAATGAGTGTTGTGCGTGAAAACCTAAGAAACAAATATGAAATTATTTATTTGCCGTAAATAGGGTGGATTGAAAACATCAGAAAGGTTGGTCATCCGAAACATTGTGCTAAGGTCTATTTAACCATTTCAAATGGCATGCAAATATTTATGTCGATTCTGCCATGATTATCTAAATCTAAACTTTGATTTGACAACTTTGTGTCCTTGTCATTCTCTATACAGAATGAGAAGGATGCTAAATTTAGATTTAAGTTTAGTGAATTATATCAGCATCGATACCATTGATTATACATGTTTAATTTAAATAGATTTCAATATCAAAATGTCAAAAAAGCAGCATTCTAATTTGTATTTTGTCAATATTAAAATGTCAAAATATATACATTAACAAAGAAATTTTAACAGTTGACTCTTAATGCCACGAGATTACATTGGAAGATCATCATGGTCGTTGAAATGCCACGTAATTATATTGAAAACATTATCAGTAGCCTCCTAATATCCCCATCGCTGGGGCACAGGCCTTTCCTATGGATAGAATATCAAGATCGGACCATGACCCACCGATTGATATCTTTGGATCCACCACCAACGGGTTGACGGCCGCTAACAACTGCAAATGCAGCCGGGACTAGGGTAACCATCTATTTCAGTGACGACGTCTGTCTAAGACAGACAAAGCACCTGATTTTACAGAAAAAAAGTTTGTCTTACGGGTACAGGAGTGCACTCCAGGAGTGCCGGCAGGAGTGAAAACTTGAATATTAACGTTGTGCATTTTTGATATTTTGGAATGGTTAGGGAATAAATTTGCACGAATTGCTTTAATTATCAGTATAAAAGTACTATCATGTATGTGGTAGAATACAATATTAATTTATTGCGCTATCGTACACAAACATGACAATTTATATTACATTAAAAAAGTTTATCTTTCAGAAAAATCAACTTACATGAATCACGTTTATGCGTACTTAGCGACATCTATTGCAAAGAAATCAACTTACATGAATCACATTTAAGCGCACCTAGCGACATCTATTGTAAAAAAAAATGCATTTTCTTCGCACGTGCACTTTCGCATTGCCACGTGGACGTCCTACATAGAGACTTATTATTATAATACGATAAAATAAAATTTTACTATGTTTCGTCAAATATATTGAAAGTCAACAACCTTTCCAATTTTATTTGTGTGTCATGATGCGATCAGCCCACGTGTTTAACCTGACGCAAGTTTAACATTTTTTACCCATACAAAAAAAGTGTACAACGCCGCTAAAGAAGTTTTCACTTCAAAAATCAGGTCAACTGAAGAAACTAATATTAATATCATTCGTTCTTATTCTCTCGAGGAGCTCGATGGCGCAAGTGGTTGGTCATTGGATGGGTGACCAAAAATTTACTATCTCGAGCCCCTCCGTGCTTCGGAAGGCACGTTAAGCCGTTGGTCCCGGCTGCATCTGCAGTCGTTAGCACCCATCAATTCGCACTGGGCCCGCGTGGTGGGTCATGGCCCAATCTCCCTATTCCATCCATAGGGAAGGCCTGTGCCCTGCCATATGATGATGATGTTCTTATTCGATCGGTCCACGTAAAGAATGCATCTCGCCGCCCGCTGATCCCGCCCGCCTATTTCGTGCTATCTCGTTTTTCCTCAGGAAAAGGGGAGGAGGAGTATTCCTCGAGAAGTGGGTGTGGCTGAAAACCAGCGCTGCCCGAGACATTCTGTAACGAAGCAGTTTATGCTGGGCCACATCCATTTGCTCTCCACGCTGTCATATCGCATTGTACTATGTATTGAACTATGTATTACTGTGAGAGCAATAAAAAAAATCTATTCTATTCTATTCCTGCATTGCCACACTCGCGTGGCGAGTGTAAATATAATAAAATTTATAAAAAAACATTGACTCAGCTTAGCGCCGGCCGCCCTCAGGCCGCTAAACGCCCAGATATCACACTAATCACACTAATATAATAAAGGCGAAAGTTTGTGAGTGTGTATGTTTGTTACTTCTTCACGTCTAAATGGCTGGAGCGATTTTAATAAAATTTAGTATGGCGTTAGCTGACACTCTCGATTAACACATAGGCTACGTTTTACTGTGGGAAAATATCCCTAATAAACCGCGGGTAACATCGCGGGGCACAGCTAGTGTCAATATAAATTCATAATTATCTTCATCGTCTTATTATTTGCTACACTTAGTGATTTTAATAATATAAGTTGTTGATTAATTTATGGAATGAAGTGGCTGTAATTGGTAATAAGTTGCAATATACTTAATCCATTTATAAACATAATAAAATATTATCTGAATAAAAATATTTATCCGAGGATCAGAAATAATCACAAATGTGTAAATATTTACGATTGAAGTTGTAAATATTTTACCATCTTTAATAGCCAAATAAAATTTATCATACAGTCTTATCAGATAAACGGTTCTTGATATCGGAAATATCGGTAAAGCCCGAGTCGGAATCACGCAACACGGGTTCCGTATTAACGTACAAGGTTAAAAACCACGGTGGAAGTCCAACTTTTGGTTGTTAATGCTGCGCCAGGAATAAATTTTCATTGTGAAAAAATCAACTGTAACAACTGTTACGGCTCATGAGATGCAGACAGACGGACGGAGACTGGAGGCATATATATTAATAGTGGGTTTCTGTTGTCACTCTTTGGGTACGCAACCCTAAAAATTTATGTAATATACATAGTGATGATAATAATGCAATTATTGGCAACTTTGTCACTCGTCAAATGCGTGCTCTGCATTCCACAGATAATAAAAAATAAATAAATAAAAATAAAATAGTTTATTTCGTTAATCTTATTTTACAATGTTATTCTGTGGCCAGAACAACCTAGGAAGCATATAGTGATATGCATGTGTTGTGCGGTTCTGCTCGTACCTAGGACCTCGTACATTTATTTTAGGTTAATTAATTAGATACACATAAATACACAGATACACACATAAATACACACACAAACACACACGCATTACATGGCTTAATTAAAAAAAAAACGACGGGTTGCACTCCGGGAGTGCCGGCAGAAGTGAAAATTTGAATATTAACGTTGTGCATTTTTTATATTTTGGAATGGTTAGAGCATGATTTTGCACGAATTGCTTTAATTATCAGTATAAAAGTACTATCATGTATGTGGTAGAATACAATATTTATTTATTGTGCTTATCGTACACAAACATGACAATTTATATTACAATAAAAAAGTTCATCTCTTAGAAAAATCAACTTACATGAATTACCTTTAAGCGCACCTAGCGACATCTATTGTAAAAAAAATCATTTTCTTCGCAATAAAGCTGCCACGTGGACGTCCTAGATAGAGACTAATTATTTTAACACGATAAAATAAATCATTACTATGTTTCGTCCAATATATTTAAAGTCAACAACTTCTCCAATTTTATTGTGTGTCATGATGCGATCAGCCCACGTGTTTAACCTGACGCGAGCTTAACATTTTTTACGCATACAAGACAAAAATGTAAAACACCGCTAAAGAAGTTTTCACTTCAAAAATATTTTTTTATGATATAGAGTAGTTATTATTAACTAAATAACTACTCTTTATCATTACAAAAAAAAAATAACAATGTTATTGTTATTTTATAATGATATAGAGTTTATAACAATAACATTTTTGAAAAGGTAAAAATATAATAAAGCATTGTTATGCATGTGTGTGTGTATCTGGGTCTATATGTATGTGTGTGTAGAACCTATATGATAGGACATACTCTCTCTCCTCTATATCCTAGTAAAGTCTTAAGACTACGGTATTAAGGTAGGTAAGTAATAAAGGAAAGATAGGGAACAATTTTGGCTTAGGCTTATTATAATCTAAATAGATACTAGGCTATTAATGTCCCCACTGCTGGGGCACAGGCATTCCCTATGGATGGCCTAGGGAGAATGAGCCATAACTCACCACCGCCAATCACATTGGCGGGTGCTAACGACTGCAGATGCAGCTGGGACCAACGGCTTAACGTGTCTTCCAAAGCACGGAGGAACTCGAGATAGAAGATTTTTGGTCACCCATCCAATGACGGTCCACTGCGAAAGTTGCTTAACTTCAACGATTGCAGCCGAACGCGCTTACCACCTGCGCCATCGAGCTCCTCTATTAGGGGTGATGACGGGGTACAGTAAACGAAATTCTATTAAGTCCGTCAGTTAGATTATCAAAAAATAATGGACACGTATTTTTTCTTTGGGCAATCAACCAAAAAATGACAAAGTTATAGCGCGTCAAAGTTTGGGAGTAGGGGCTCGTGACGTCACTTTTGAGTGAAAATTGTACTTGTTTAATTGTAAAACGTGACGTCATGCGAATTTTCAAATCAATATATCTCTGCAATGTTTATATTATGTGAAAAAAGAAAAAATACGTGTCCTAGTCTTTTTGATAATCTACCTGATAAACGAAGAAAAAAATTAGTCATCATCCCTATTAAACTAAACTTAATAGCAGTCTCTTCTTCATACATAGACAATAAAATTTCAATAATCTTTGATTGAAGTATCCGAACGCTCAATAATAGTGTAGCTCGACAAAAGTAAATAAAATTCATTAAATTAAAAGTAAGTAAATTCGACGCAGTCTGAAAAGGATGCGAAATTTGTGTGAGTGTGTGTGTGTAGTGCTTTCAGAGAAGAACGGATATTCGGTTATTTATTTATAGACTTTATACCATCATAATCTGTTTTTACCGAGCAGTTTTTCTCATGTCTCTCACAGTACGGGACATCAGCGAAATTTCTGTGTAAAATGGAGAAAGCCACAAACTCAAAAAAAAAAAAGATTCGAAAAGTCAACAAAGTAGTAAAACGACGCATTTTGAAACCGTTTTCGCGTGTTTCATTTTACAAATAGCAGTCTCTCCTTTTCATTATTAACTGTAGAGTGTGATAAGTAAGAAATGCTATCGCATTTACGGCCGGTTCACATTATTCCAGTAGTATTCCAGTCCAGCGATTGAATCTAGCGCTCGAAAACTACTAAATTTGAATGGAATTAGGCGTAAATGTAATTTGTTTCCTAGATTGATAAACAAAAATATTGCACTATATTATTTATATATTATTTATTTATTGCACTGTGTAATAATACCTTTTTTTGTGTGGGAAATGCCTTACGCATCCTTTAACCAACGGTGGAGCGAGAAGAAGGTATGTGGGAATTCCCACAGGGAGGAGTCTCCCTGCTCTTTATAGCCAGCCCTTGGGCCGATTGAAATGAGCAGGGCCCTACCTAAAAACAGGGCCACTAAAAACCAGACAATACTCCTGCACCGGTCACCCGGCGTACATTCTGAGGACCACAGTCCCCTCAATGCACGCCGTGAGTGCGGGGTGTGGTCGCGGGTGCACTGTGTAATTCTAGTAAAACTAATTACAACGCGGGCGAAGTCGCGGGCATTACACAATATATAATGTAAACAAAAAGGTATAAGATAATGGACTCTGCGTTGTTCTTTTTTGCTGAATAGTAGCTGAATCTTTGTGTGAAACCTGTTGGTCGCAGATGACCTTTACAGCGTCACCGGCTTTGGGGACGACGAGATCTTAAAGAGACCTCAAGCCGAGTATTGACGAGTGCCTCTAGAGGTATTCCAGGCGTATGGCATTGCCCCTCGAGGGAAATTTCCGTCTGGAGCCTCTAGACCACTCGAACCTGAGGGGGTCGCCTCAACTAGAGGGCGTCTCTGAGACTCGGACCGCGGCTCTAGATAGCCGTTGTCGTGGGTTCCGGGGAAGCTGAATATCAATGCAGGTGCTTACCTTTATAGCCCGTATTTCTAGCAGACACTAGGACGTTTTCATAGCCACGGTAGACCAGGGGTCCACGAATGTGAGCCTTATGCGGATCGCTTAAGGTCATATGTGGCTTGATGTTGATTGGGGACTGCTGCGATCCCACACCGCAGATCCCAGGCCACGCTGATTCATCTTTGATGAAGAAAAGTATTATGATAAAATCACGCCAATAAAAATTACACGTATTCATCATGATCAATCTCAAATCAAATATATTGTTTGTATACATACCACGATGGCTCCAATTTGGTGAAGAATCAGACGCAGTGAAACCTGTAAAAAAAACAAAAGCTAAATGGTTTTGCCTCCATTTTTTGTGCCAAAGGAGATCATTGAGTGGCTACGTGAACCATTAATCCCAAATGTACCTTTTTGGTTTTAGGAAATAAGAAATATGTAAAAAATTAAAAATCAATAATTTTACAAATACAAATACAAGTGCTTTATTTCCATACCTTATTATCAAATGATATATAAGTATTAATATGACTTTGGAAAAAGGAGTAGGCATAGCGCAGCTGGTTTTAAGCCTACCCATCGTCAAATTTTTGTGGTTAGTTACACAATTTAAATTCAATTATTAATAGTCAATTAAATGTCAAATTTATTAATTACAATGTCAATTCATTTAGATGTCATTCAAGCTTAGTCAATTCAATGTCACGTTATATTTAAAATGTCAATTTTTTTTACTAGTCAATTAAAATTTATATCATTCTTACACACAATAAATGTTGAATATATTAATTACAATGTATTTTTTTTACTTGTCACTTAATTAGAATTTTTATAATTCTTACACACAATAAATAATAATATATAATCCAGGTAAATTAATTAATTTAGTACATCTACAATTAATGACTCACATTAATTGTAGATGTACTAAATTTTAATGTACAATAAAATTATATTCTCTGGATATATAAAAAAATACTTTAATACTTTAAGTTTAATAACAACTTTACACTATAAAGAAAATATAAAAAAACGCCGCTCCGTAAATCGGGCAGGCCGTGCTTTAATAACGCGCGCCAAAACGCAAAAATAAAAATGGAGAAACGAGGCATTGGTCAGTTATTGTCTTAAATTGCAGAGGATGCATTGTTTTTTTCTATATATGTAATTATTAATTTTCCCAATTGCTTGTATCTAAGAAAACTTGTTTAATATAACACACATATTCCTATAGTCAAACACATTGAACGTTATTTATAGGTAATGATTATAATTATAAAAATTTAATTGTTCTTGTATTTAAAAGGATCAAAATCAATTTCATACATCCACTTTTCACTCTCATACTTTGTAAAATATTCTTACTGAAAAAGAATAAGTTTTCTATCTAAAGCAAAGTTAACTGAAAAGAAATGCACGCGGCCCAGGCATCAGACAGGATATATAAATGTAACAGTTAAAAGCTTAAAATAAAATAAAATATAAAGAACTAAGGAAGTTCAGCAAATTTTAAATTTTAAGAAAACTTATCTTGTATCTCTTTTTACGATAAAGGACAATGTTAAAATTGGCCTAAGAACCAACACCAATTTGGCATTCATGATAATTCTTAGTATATTTTTTGCGATAATTATCAGTATTTAGATTGTGACGGACACTTCCAGTTAAGTAAGCTAAATTAAAAAGTTAATAAATAATCTGAGACATTAAATCCCATTTTATGTGTATAATCTATGACAGCGCTGCAAACAAAAAACACTTTCTTCCTAATGCCGGCACTTCACTTGGCTATTCGTATTTGCTATTTAAAAACATGACATCAGTCTGTCCTTTTCATTCCTTATTAAGCATGACAAGGACAAACTGTTGTCAAGTGAAGGGCCGGCATAAACTCGATACTCTGTGGTTGTGGTGCAGGCAGTTTGCATTCGTAGTAATCTGTGGCATTCGTGGATTCTCGTCAAAGAGTACTTTTTATATACGGAAAATTCTCGTTCGGATTACCTGTTGTGTGTGTTTATTTGCGATTGTTTTTCCTTTAATTTAACTATTACTATTTCGGTTATCTAATATGCCATCGATGTTACCAAAGAGCAGAGGCCTTATTACCCAGTGCTAGTGAACCTGTGCCACAACATCCTGAGAGGATCATACTGCCAAATTATTCAGGAGCACCTGATACACATTCACGCTGCATATTTACACAATATACATGTGTTTAACAAATAAATACAATATGATACAAAGATGTGAATAATAATAGTCAATAAATAATAAGAAGCAAAACTATTGTTTTTATTTTATTCATGATTCCTACCTAACCAAGTTTTTTCTAATAGTTATTCTTTAACATCGCACCGAATAAAATGTATTAGTTGTAATATTAATTCACTTCATATTGAGTTCATACTAAGTTCACAGGTTGACCTATGTTTCATTGAATATTAAACATAACCTCAAAAAAAATTTTAGTTTTCCTAATAATTTAAGTTCTCAGAAGTGTCCGTCAATAATCTTTGTTTTTACAGTCAGTTACTTGCGATTTCGAACCTAGAAAATAATATTTCATGATTGTTGGTTCTTAGGCTAACTATGTATGGACGCAGAACAATGTTCTTTAATATTACGTGGCGGTTATTAGGATCTCTACCGTACAGGACAACGTTTTTCGGGTCTCCTACCACCTTATGAATAAAAGAAGAATAAGCTTGGATGAGTTACTCTATGTTTTATCTCTGCAGTTTTGATTCAATGAAGAATCAAAAAAGTCATTTCAGTGATATGAAAAAAACATGGTTTAACTGGTCTACACTTATTCCTTGTTTATTAATAAAGAAGCTAGTGATTCAGTAAAGAATTGTGAAAGAGTAAATAATGTGTCAGTAATAATAAATGTAAAAAAAACCTATGCCCAAAAAAATAAAAAAAAATAAACTAACACGCTACGCTACTACGAGCTACGAGTGACGTAAGATCGGAGAAAGTTCGGAGTTAACTGATGCTTCGAAAATAAAAAAAACTAATTTATTGCTGCCTAACATAAGTTAACCATAGATCAGCAAATATAGGGACCCGCCACCACCCGCTTGTACTTTGGAGTTCTGATTCGATTTTTACAAAAAGTATAAAACTCAATACAGCTTAGTAAAAAAATTTTAGGCTGCAAAACAGTGATGATTAGTTTCTGTATATGTAGGTAAAATAGTGGCAACTGTATCAGTTATTGAAATGAAAAGTCATTTATTCGGTCTAGGCTGTGAAGGTCAGAAGCTACGCCATCGGTTCGCAAAACTACGGCGGGAAACCTCGTACTGAGAAGAACCGGCAAGAAACTCAGCAAGGGCTGTTTTTTTCTCCCTGTATAAAATATATTTCGTCTGTTATTCCGTAAGAATCTTGTGTATCGTAGATTCGGTTCGATCGCAGAGTGACGCCACCTGGGCCAAGTCAACTTTTTCTGATGAAAAATTATTTAGATATAAAAATCTAGGAACTCAGTAATTAAATGAAAATATTATATGATATAGTAGGTACCTTAATTCAAAAAAGTTAATTTAAAATGATTGATAATATTTTGTACAGGATTTTAGTACCATATTGGCTGAATTACGTTTAAAGAAATGAAATTATTATTTTTTTCTTTATAAAAATGTAGCAACGACCATTGACTCATTTGCATTAACTCATCAATCACTCGTATAGAATGTAACCAAACCAATGCATAAATAAAGTTATTAAGTATAAATAAAAATTAAATTAAAATTAAAAACCTTAAGTGAAATCACTCACCGTATAAACCCAGCAAAACTGTCACTAAAGTAAACATATTTTTCACTAAAAAGTTTTAAAACTTTTTTGGGTAAAATAAAAAGTTTAAAAAACTTTTTTTTTATCGTGACGCACTATTGCACACACTGGTTGGTTTGGACTGAACCCCGTCCGTAGAGTGAAAACTTTTTATACATCGTTGTCTTTTTTATTAATGGAAATAAAAAAGTAAAAAGTTTTTTTTTCGCGTCACACGCAGCTAGGCTGAGGCAGCGGCGCTGCGTGCGCCGGTGTGTCTACAACGTGGTGTGATAAACATAACTCAATCGTTACGTACGCACGGGCGTAAAGGACGCCGAGCAAAATGAAGGCTTATCGTGTTCCGGCTAGAAGCGGCCAGTTGAAGGAATAACTGAGGTAAGGTTACTTGAGAATCATTAGTCTAATTGTATTTACAAATAATAAAGTTAGTAGTTTTATTAGAAAATGGTGAAATTAATCTCTTACCTTTAAATGGCCTTACCACAAACCATAGACTAAAGCCTTGACTAAAACTGATGCTGTTACTTTAAATTGCTAAAAGATGGCTAAAAAGTAAACAAAAACAACATTAGGTTTAAACCAAGTCTAACTTTAGTTCGCGAGTTGTAGTAAGGGGGTTAGTGTTTTTGGGAAATTTCCAAGTGTTTTTTTCTGTATTTGTACATTTTATTTCAATATCGATGCATTTTTTCCTGACTTTTTTAATTATGAATAGATTAGAAGATTTTTTTTATGACATTGCGTATAACTATTATCTTTAAATTAATTTTATTTCTTTTGACGTGACTGAACCTCATTAATTTAATTATCATCTATAATATGTAATATTTGCACGTTGATATTCAACAAAATATGCTGGAAACTAAAGAGCTAACTATTGTAACCATATTTTGGCAATTAATTATTATTATTATTATTATTGTAATGTAGACAAATAAAGCATATATTGTAGGAGAGATGATAAGAAATAACATTTAGCGTAAGTATCTCATTTCATAATGTATAAAACTTAACTCTTTTATAAGGATCACTTTGTAGTCTGTTCGTCTGTCAAGATCCCTTATCTCAAAAAGGCGTGGAGGTGGAGGATTAAAATGAAATTATTATAGAAAGACTTCATTTATTCGGAAAAACTCAATTAAGAAAAAATAATTTTAAGATTTGAGTGCTACCGCGTCGTATAATTTTGTATATCTCAAACAAGGCCTTTGTAGTGAAATTAATGACCGATGAGTTCTTCAAACCTAAAGTTGCTGTAATGGACTGAATTATATAATACAACAAACATCTAAGAAGAATTAGAACAATAAATGTTTCTATTTAATGTCTATGTAGTTTAATTCTGTGAAGGTCAAATGCCAAATAATATGGTCATTTAACACGTACACATTTAATATTAAAGAACAATCACTAGTGCGTATATCTAAATCCAATTTATATTTCATTGCACTCAATATTATTTTGTAACGTTATTATAATTACATTTATTAATTGATAATCCTGCGTAGCAGATTAACCTAATGTTACATATTATAATAGTACTTATTACGCGATTTTTTGAGGTATAACTTGCGATTTACTAGCTCTGATACTATTTGTTACGTTTCATGCAGAGTTTACGAGTTTCATTGAAAATCATAAAAGAGGTAGAGCACAACGGATTTTTCTCTCGTGTTGAAGCATACGCCGGAAAAGTAACCTTCACCTCAAGCAGTGTTGAAGGTATTCGCAGGACTTTTTTAGCGGATATGGGGTAGGCAACGGTGCGTGTGATATTTTTGATATCGCAAGCGTCTATAGGCTGTAATGGCTGCTTACTACCAGTCGGGCCATACGTTTGTTTGTCATCCTTTTATCATAAAAACTAATCTTAGCAGCGCTGCGGGTTACAGTGAGAGAGGACGAGCCTGCCTACCGCTGCCGTATGCGTGAGAGGAAGGGAAGCTAGACAGACTGGCGCCGTAAAGAACTTTTAACAGCTTAATTTGCTCTTTTCATCATGTCTCAGTACATATTTTTTTTATTTTTTATCTGATTTGAATTTTGTGTTTGTGTTGATGAATTGTTGTTTTTAAGTTAAGCATGCTGTGGCAACTAAAAACAGTGCTCTTAGTTCCACTTTAATATGATTCTCCTCATTACCTTATTGTATTGTAACTGTTACTGATTGTCCTTAAAATAAATAAATAAATAAGTAATGCGTTACGTAACGTTTCGTTCTAGATGTTCGCCTTTGTTTCCAGCCGTGTGTCCGTGTGAACTCTGCAGGGTAGTGTTGTGCGCAGGTCATCTAATTTACTAATAAAAATCTCGCTACGGAAGTAGAGCCGCGCGTGTATTTGCAGAAAGGATGCTGCACTTATCCCATTTATTATATTGGTCTATATTCAACTAAATGCATCATCGGATCATGCTCGTTACTGCCTATAAATAATTTAATGTATGAACCATACTTTTTCCTCGGTGACGATGACGTATGGAAAAGGGGCGATTGAAGCTGGCATCCCACTTTAATTCAATTTATTTGCAGAGTTTTTGGCGGGATTTCATCGATCGCGGTTGGCGTCTTATCTCTTATCTATTAGACAAGTCCGTCTGCCCGTGGTGCTGTTTCAGCGGCCAAACCGTAAGAGATAGATAAAGAGAATATTTAAGTTATAAGTTAAGAATAGTCTGATAAGACTACAAACCGGATTTGAGTAACGTAACACTTCCGGTTTTCGAGAAATCAGGTTTTGGTGAACATTTGGTTCACTGGTTTGCTAGTTTTATTTATTCTTAAATTCGTTCATAGTGTATACTGTGAAATAAAATTGGTGTAATTTTGTGTTACAACCATCTGCGCAACTGAAGAATTAGTGTAATCTTTAAAATATACGCTATTCCGGTCAAGTGGATGTGAGAAATTTATTGTAGTGTTGACTACCTCACAGAAGCTTATCGGAAAAACCAAATCGGTACATTTCGTGCCAAACACTCCAAGAAACATTAGAATGCGTCACAGTGTCACACCGACATTCTAATGTCAATAAAAAATGAAGTTAAGGATTTGTACTTATGTATACGAATGAAGGACTTTTATCCATGGTCAAGAATAATAAAAAAAAATGCATTCCAAAATGTTACAAGTTTGTTACGTATATAAATATATATACAATTTTGGACCCTGTTTTGCATAGCAAAGACAAGTAGTAAGAGAGAATAACGCATCTTTTGATGTATATTCAGTTGAATACTTTGTTTCTTATACTTATATCAATTGTATAATATTTTTTTGTATATATATATATATATGTTAATTTATTTTATACATTTTAGTTATCATTTTATAATAACAGTTAGCAGAAGTGTAACAAATTGTAAACTATACAATTGTAACAATACATTTTTGCAAGTCCGCAGTTTAATTAGGTCGATGCAATTTACGCCATTTACATGATTTAAAGAATAGTTACGTTTTCATCTATTACACGGCGGACGCGTACTCAATATCAATTATATCATTTGATCATTTGATTTAGTATTACCAAATTAGATAGCAAATCAATGAACTATAAAATTATATCAACTGTTTGTATTTATAATCAACATCTAAAGGTGTCCCGTACAACAATAACATTAAGAGTAGCTAAATAAAAAACATAGTCAAAGGGAGATCCCTTTAGCTACGGAAGGAAAACTTAATAAGTTTAATATAAGGAAAAAAAATGGAGTCCATCAAAGCGCCTGTCTGGGGATTTCTCCGCTAACATGACGACCTCCGTGGCCGAGAGATTTGTACGCCGGGTTTCATGGTGTCGCCGATTTGAGAGGTCCCAGGTTCAAATCCCGGTGGAAGCAGATGTTTGTGTGATGAATACTAACATTTGTACTCCAGTCATGGATGTTTAATATACATTTCCATATAAATATACTTATATATGTATTAGTATATGTGCTTACTTTGGAGCTAGGCTCATATATAAAAAAATAAATAAACAAGGACAAGGAAGGCGGAAGTATATTTTTTTTAAACACATATATTTATTACATTTTAAGTTGATGAATATAACATAATTGTGATGTAGAGAATTCGATAGTTGGTAGAGTAGCCCCATCAGAATCCGAGGCCGCGTCGAGATGCAGCCAGGGAGGTCGAATGGGTGGGAAGGACAGGGAGAGGAGAGGACAGTTTAATAATAGTGAGAGGCGAAAGAAGAGGAGAGGAAAGGAAACGAAACAGAAAATAAATAAAAGGTTCAAAGAATGGGAGTAAGAGTGTAAGGGAAAAGGTTTAACAATCTACTATGACGCATTTGCAAAAAAAAGTCAAACCCATAACTTTAACACGAGATTTAAAAACAAGCTTGCCGTTCCATGTTTCAGACTCATAAAATCAAGAGGTTCATTTCTGGGATGTAGTATTGCATTGTTTAACAAAGTTCCCCAAAATCTGATTGAACTTCCACTAACCAAATTTAAATCTCAGATCAAGAATTCTCTTATGAATAAGGGCTATTATAAAGTTAACGATTATCTAAATAATCGTAATGCATGGACATAGTGTTTCTTGTAATTTATTATTTGATGGGTATGAGTCAGTTTTTGTAACACTAATATGGTACCTATCTAATGCCGCTTCCTATATACTAACTAAATATAAAATTTATTGTAACTATATATCTATATCCTAAATAATGTAATGGTAGGTGACTTCAGAAGTATCTCTGAAGTCATTTTTCAACTTGATGACTCTGTATATATCAATACAGGGAGAAAAAAGCAGCCCTTGCTGAGTTTCTTGCCGGTTCTTCTCAGTACAAGGTCTCCCGCCGTAGTTTTTCGAACCGATGGCGTAGCTTCTTGACCTTCACAAGTGCTTGTAACAGCCTAGACTGAATAAATGACTTTTCATTTCCTTTTGCATTTCATTTCATTTCAATCTTGCATGAAATAGGCGGCAGTAATTTTACACTTTTTTGTAGTTCTTAACGTAACCTGCAACCGGGTCAGGGTTGTATTAAACATTTGACTCCACTCGCAGTGGGCAGCAGTTATATCACATGCGTAATAAGAAGGATCAGTTACGTTTGGTTATGCAGCGCATATCAAATTTGTAAGAGGACATAATTCAGAAAGGGAACAGAGTTACGAGATAATGACATAAAGTTTTCACTCTTTTAATTTTA